GGAAAGTCAGCACTCTGGAGACTGACTGAAATTCAAAATGTTAAACGGGAGGAGAGAAACAAACAAGTATGAATGGAATAGTGAGCACTGTCCATTTATCCAAGAAGACCTCTACACACTGCGTAAAAGAATCTGGAGGGACATAAGCTGAGACTGAGAAACAGTTATTCAGTAGAGCTACTTAGCAAGAACGTACGGCAATTACACATGATCTATGAATAGATGACAATGTTAGAACTTTCTGGTAATCACAAGAATATTAGAGCAACAATGAAATACCATGTTCTGCATATCAAATCTGTGAAGTTTAAAAAATGATAATAGTGTCTGAGAGCATTTGGGGGAAAAGGGTATGTAATATGATGCTGCTGGGGGAGTAAATTGTTATAGCCCTTATAGAAAACAATTTGTCAATTTGCATAAAAATCCATTAACATTTAATGGTTGCATATTCACTTTTTATGAATTAGATATGTGTAAACATTTAAAAAGAGGATGTTCAATACTGTTGTTTTCCTGATAATTAACATGAAAAGCAACCTACATGACCAACCAGTACAGAAGCAAATTATATAAATTATGGAACAAAGGAATTTGTTGCAACTATTGATGACCACATTTAGACAGGTATTTAGCAGTGTAGGAAAAAAAATGTTGTATATAAGAAAAACAGGTGCTAAACATATTTACAGGATAATAACAGCTTTCTTCCTGTGTGTGTCTACACTATAAACAAAATACTGGATGAAGATACAAGGAAATATTGATTGTTATCTCTCTGTAGTAGATTTATGGGCACTTTAGTTTTCTTCTTTGGGTTTTCTATTATTTTAAAAATTCCCTTGAATTAATATGGACTGTGCTCATAATCCCAAATATGTTTTTACCTCATATTTCTATAATCTATAAACAAGTTCATTATATGTAGACCTATTTTTCACATCTGTTCCTTTGGAGACTGAACTGACTTATCTGTATGGTTTTTATTCTGTTTCTAAAGTTCTATAAAATATTTTATGAAAAACAGAGGGTATCATGTCAATGTATAGCAAAAACCACTACAATATTGTAAAGTAATTAGCTTTCAGCTAATAAAAATAATTTGACATTGCCAATAAATAAACTTTTGTTTAATACATTAAAAAAAAAATGAAAGAAAAAAAAAAGAAAAACAGAAGGTAATGCGGACATATACAACCGACAGACACAATAGGTTAACAAACAAATGATGTCATAATCAGAAAGAATGAGTTTCAGAGAGAGTGTCAAAGTGTCCTTGAGTGGAAATTCCCTGTGGCCTCACTCTTCAGGGAACTGGGTCTGGGTGTGGACACCTCAGTCAGCCCTACTGTCTTTTTTAAAGTAACAATGTTGATGCTGATGAATAAACAATACATGTAAATACAAATACAGTGTTCCTTTGTGCCACGTACCACACTGTATCTTTAGATACCAAGATGATCATTTTGCATATAAAGAAAGTTACAGAAATTAAATAAAATGTTCAAGGTCTCATGACCAGTATTCACATGACAACATCCCTTAAACTTTCTGGACTTTTAGCTAGCTTTTATCTTTTACTTTCTTCAAATATAAGAATTAATTTCATCATAGACATTTTTCATTTTTTTTTGAAGGAGGAAAGGAATTTCCCTTGTAACCTCAGAACTGTTTGCTAACTTACTAACAATGCCTGAATTCCCTTTGATATTTTAAACTATCAGATCACCTAATCTTTTCTTGAAAGGTAAAGTCTATTTTAATAAGCCATGCTAAAAGTTATAAGGAAAACATTTATTATTTGGAAGCCTTTAAAAACTGAAAAAAAATTGTTTTGTTGTTGTTATGATGAAAGGGAGGTGCATCTTCATAATAAACAAATTCCATTTGCCTTATAGCTTTTTGAATGCTTTACCAAACCTTTACCAAATCTGATAAGAATGGTATAGTAATTGTGGGTCCACTGGGAAGAATTATTCTCATGGTTGTCATACTTTCCCATGTTGTCATGGCTAGATTAAGCCAAGGATCTAGATTCTATAACCCATGTAACTAAATTGATTGTGTGTTAGTTAGTTGCTCAGTCGTGTCCGACTCTTTGCAACCCCATAGACTGTAGCCCACCAGGCCCCTCTGTCCATGGGATTCTCCAGGAAAAAACACTGGAGTGGGTTGCCATTTCCTTGTCCAAAAGGAACTATAGAAAGAAAGTGAAGTCACTCAGTCGTATCTGACTCTTTGCGACCCCATGGACTGTAGCCTACCAGGCTCCTCCATCCATGAAATTTTCCAGGCAGGGGTACTGGAGTGGGTTGCCATTTCCTTCTCCAACCAAAATGATTAAAATAACAGAAAATTGATCTTATGAGAATGAGGTCCTGTGTAATAATGCACCTTGGAATACAGAAGAAATAAAACCACCCATTACTGAAGATAATGATCAGTTTTTCCCTAAATTCACTCAAGAGAAGAAAAAGGGGTAACAGAGATGAAAGATTTAAATTCCCTATAAGGATGACTCCTAATAAGGAAGGTTGCTAAGTAAGGGAACAGAATCTTGAAAAGAACTTAAATATTTATCTAAATTCTTATTATGCAAGTAAGTAGCATATTGATCTCTAGGAATCATCTAATTCTTCAAAAAAAATATTACTTGTATAACTTGTATTACAGTATTCTTGGGTTAGCCGAATCTCTGGCATAAATAAGTAAGCTGTTTTTTCCCCCCTCGGCTGAGAATACAACGCAACCATGCAGCCATATCTTTTACACTGAAGGTCCTAACAGATATTGTTACACTTTATAAATGTGGGAACAGATTTTCAAGGATATTAAAATTTATCTGTTTCCCCAAAGATTTTTAAGTAGAACACATCAATTCCAAAGTTCTTGCTGAAATATGGTCCCATCTAATGGCAGGAATGAGTGGACTGGAAACTCAGGACTTCTGTTCCTTCTTAGCAAATTTTCTCAAGATGACACTGAGGTCAACAGGAAATGTGAACATCACTCTGGCACAAAGCCTGCCTGAGAGAAGCTTCTCCCTGAACTCAAAGCTTTAGTACTTCCATTAGATGAATGCTGAGTCCCAAACTTCAGATGTAATCTGTTCTCAAAATTCAGATTAACTGTGCCAATTTATTCAATGAAATTTATACTTGAGAAGGATATTTTCCCCTCCAAACATAAGGGTCACCCTATTACAATGTCACAAGGGATGCAAAAATTGCATTTAGGGATGCTGCTGTCTGAGGACAATTTTGTCATGTTTTTAGTTCTGACAGTTTTGTTTTTAATTTGTTACTTTCCCCATATATTTTTTAAGTTGATATGTCATATTTTTACTTTGATTCAATTCAATGAATTTCCTATTCCTTCTCTCTCTCTTTTTTTTTTTTTTTGACCTCACCTCATGCAGGATCTTGGTTCCCTAACCAGGGATTGAACTCGTGTTCCCTGCAGTGGAAGTGGGGAGTTGTAACCTCTGGACTGCCAGGGAAGTCCCCTCTGACACAATACTTGAATATTTTGCAAAAAAAAAAAACAAAATTCTTTTTGGTGGATCTTCTTCTTGAAACAATAATATATCAGAATAGCAATGTTGACCAGGATGTCTTCTGAGGAAGCTGCAAATAAAATTCTTTCTGGGATGAAAGACGCCACACATAAATTAAAACTAGCGATTCTTTTACTTGAGTGATAATTGACTCAGGTCATGCTTGACTGAACACCTCTGAAAGGAAGAATGGGAGAACATTCCTCCTCACACAGGAATCAACTTGGCCGGCTCAGCCTCTTGTCTAAGAGTTCTGTCAGGATGTCTTTATGTTGCCTGCACATAAGGATATGTCTCTGCTTTGTTCACAGTACAGGTTTGTCTCTGGAAAATCTGCCTTGATTTAACAGTTGGCTGGAATATTACCTCCTGCAAATTCTCAGTGAACAAGGAGAAATAGCCATGGAAGATTCACAGTCTTCACCAAACAGCACTGCCACAAAAGAATGTCATTCTAAACTGTAATTATAAGATACCCCCTATAACGTTTCCAGCCAATCCATTGCTCTGAAAAGTCTAATTTGCACTGCATTGACTTTCTGTATTTGAGAGATGACATAATTAAACAGAGGTAGCACAAGTCAAGAACAAACAGCACATGCATGTGATAAATTAAGTCTATGGCTATAATGAAATAGAAGTGGAACAAGACCTTCGAACAAAAGGGAAAGGAATGATCTAATCTTGAGATGTATTATACTGTAACCTCTTGCTTTACATGAACACATCCAGGACACAAATAATAATCACCTTTAGTACTACCATACCTAAGCAAACTTCAAGGCTATCCTTTAGATAGAGGAAGATTTTTAAAAACAGAAGCTTTCAAGAAATGGCTCTTTACATGATCAGAACTACTACAAATAGCAGTTACATTTTTTATTTTTAATATGATGACCAGCTGCCCAAAGTAACATATATGTTTTTATTCTAAAAATACAAACCGCACTAGAAAGGCAAAAATTACTCAAACCAAAAAATAAAATATATTATGTGGTAGGTATGGCTCCGTCAATATTTTTTAACCTCAATTTATACTTTTTAAAATAAATCTTCCTTTATGCTCTCAAATAATTTTATAAGGACTTGTTAAATATAGAATGACACACAGCTGTTCTTTTGCTGAGAAATTTATGTCAACTAAACAAAGTCACACAGCTATCAGTCAAATAACCTGTCACTCTTTTAAGTTCTTCTTCCTATTAATACAACAAATGTATCTGCACAACCAAACTATGCCAAAGAATCCAAGCTCTCTTGGCTTGGTTATTTAATTTCACTCCTCCTAAATTATTAGTTCAACACTACCAGAGAGATAGCAAATGCCAATTAGACTTATAAGCCAAACAATATAATTAAGAAGCAGCAATTAGCCTAAATCAACCTCCTTTCAATTTATCCCAACAGCAGACTCAGACTCTGAGATTACCCTTCTTCTACATACTGGGAATTTGTTGGATCCGGTGGACGACGACAAATGCATCTGACAGGCCCACTTTCACTGGGTGATTGGTCGAACTTATCTGTGTGACCAAGACAGGAATCTGGAAAAGAAAAAGCAGATTGTTATGAGTTAGATTTGAATTTCATTCAGGGGTAGGGGTGATGAATGTGATCATCCTGTTTAATGGATAAAATTAGATGATGGAGACGAAGGGACAGAGAGAGCAGGAAATAGTAAAGAAAAAAGACATAAATATCTGAAAATAACATCTGTTTAGAGCTATTTGATGGGTTAAGTGACAAGAGGGTTCCTAGTCCTACAGATGGGGCTATTTGATGATGAAAGTAACATATTCTCAGAGAATCAAACGGATGTTGAATGCTGAAAACTTATCCACATAAAGGTACACCATAAATGCATGTATGCTGGCTATCCTTTCAGAAATACAGATTTTTTTGGTATCATTTGTTTTCCCTAAAGACTCTATTATACATTCATTTTCATAGTTTAAAAAAATCCTTGTTTTCAAGTGGCCTTGTAGATATAAAATGTAGAGAAAGATAATAGTGTGCTCTTAACTATATATTATTAACATACATTTGACTATTACATTGATTGAAATTAATATTACTAGATTAATTTAAATTAATATTAATGTAGTTGATGAACATATAGTGAAATTTGGCAATTGTTTGTTAACGGATGTCAAACTTCACTATCCTGGCTAAAACTCATATGGAAAACACATTATTATGGGTCAGCTCAAGGCCATATCTCTTAAATTTAAATCTCAATAGAACCAAAATCTGAATATTATAGAAATCTATAATGTGTTCATTTTTAAAAATTAGGACACACTGAGAATATATTAAACATGATACAACAGGAGTAAGACAAATTCTTGGAGTCATTTTTTCTAGATTAAGAAAAGAATCATTAGAGGTATGATTACTGTTTTTATCACCAGTTTTATAGAGAATAAAAGGGGAATGAAAAAATCCTCAATAAATAAAGGGACAAGAAACAAAAAGGAAGGGTAAATGCATGAACAAATTTTTAAGTAGAAGAAGCAGCTTGTGGACCATCTGTGGGAAATTCATTAAAGAACATATTAGATCAGATATGGTTGTATAAACCATAATAAACAGCATACCAATAAAAAGGAAGGAAAATAACTTGGAGAAAAGATATAATAAGGGCTATACAGGCAATCCCAAAGAATGCTCAAACTACTGCACAATTGCACTCATCTCACACGCTAGTAAAGCAATGCTCAAAATTCTCCAAGCCAGGCTTCAACAGTACATGAACCGTGAACTCCAGATGTTCAAGCTGGTTTTAGAAAAGGCAGAGGAACCAGAGATCAAATTGCCAATATCCGCTGGATCATCGAAAAAGCAAGAGAGTTCCAGAAAAACATCTATTTCTGCTTTATTGACTACGCCAAAGCCTTCGACTGTGTGGATCACAATAAACTGTGGAAAATTCTGAAAGAGATGGGCATACCAGACCACCTGACCTGCCTCTTGAGAAACCTGTATGCAGGTCAGGAAGCAACAGTTAGAAATGGACATGGGACAACAGACTGGTTCCAAATAGGAAAAGGAGTACATCAAGGCTGTATATTGTCACCCTGCTTATTTAACTTCTATGCAGAGTACACCATGAGAAATGCTGGTCTGGAAGAAGCACAAGCTGGAATCAAGATTGCCGGGAGAGATATCAATAACCTCAGATGTGCAGATGACACCACCCTTATGGCAGAAAGTGAAGAGGAACTAAAAAGCCTCTTGATGAAAGTGAAAGAGGAAAATGAAAAAGTTGGCTTAAAGCTTAACATTCAGAAAACTAAGATCATGGCATCTGGTCCCATCACCTCATGGGAAATAGAGGGGGAGACAGTGGAAACAGTGTCAGACTTTATTTTTTGGGGCTCCAAAATCACTGCAGATGGTGACTGCAGCCATGAAATTAAAGGACGCTTACTCCTTGGAAGGAAAGTTATGACCAACCTAGATAGCATATTAGATAGCAGAGACATTACTTTGCCAACAAAGGTCCATCTGGTCAAGGCTATGGTTTTTCCAGTGGTCATGTATGGATGTGAGAGTTGGACTGTGAAGAAAGCTGAGTGCCGAAAAATTGATGCTTTTGAACTGTGGTGTTGGAGAAGACTCTTTGAGAGTCCCTTGGACTGCAAGGAGATTCAATCAGTCCATCCTGAAGGAGATAAGTCCTGGGTGTTCATTGGAAGGACTGATGCTGAAGCTGAAACTCCAATACTTTGGCCACCTCATGTGAAGAGTTGACTCATTGGAATAGACCCTGATGCTTGGAGGGATTGGGGGCAGGAGGAGAAGGGGACGACAGAAGATGAGATGGCTGGATGGCATCACTGACTTGATGGGCATGGGTTTGAGTAAACTCTGGGAGTTTGTGAGGGACAGGGAGGCCTGGCATGCTGCGATTCACGGGGTCGCAAAGAGTCGGACACAACTGAGCGACTGAACTGAACTGAACTGATACTGTTTATTTTTGCCTCAACATCATTAAATTATAAAAAGGGTTATTTCATTGAAATTTATCAACTAAGAGGACATTTTAATGTTTCTGAAATTTGTCAAATTATCTCAAAACAAGTAAATGGAAGATGACATTTTCCCTTTATGTACTAATCGGTCTTCTCCTGAACAATGTTGTGGTACTGCCAATTTAATATCAGTGTGCCCAGTTCTTAACTAGCATTAAGAAGTATTCTGATATGTGGACAACAGAAACAAACAAAATCAAAGATTTTTGTCCCTAAAAGTTTATTTACTAAATGAAACTCTGAGATAATTTATTTAGAAATTGTTAAGTCAAACTTGGTCTTCCCAGGTTACTCAGTGGTAAAGAATCAGCCTGCCAGTTCAGGAGACATGGGTTCAATCCTCAGGTCAAGAAGATCTCCTGGAGAAGGAAATGGCAACTCATTCTAGTATTCTTGTCTGGAAATCCCATGAGCAGAAGAACCTGGTGGGCTATAGTCCATGGGGTCACAAAAGAGTCAGACATGAGCTGGTGACTAAACAAGAACAAGTCATACTTGCTATCAATATATGCGGCTGGAAGTATACTAGATGAGTGGTAAGTATAGGAGCTGGAGTGGCAGGAAGATGATTCTCGGTGAACATGCCATGGATTTAAGGACAGGGAGAAGAGAGTCAACAGCATCATCAAGACTTTTGGTCTTAGCAGCAAGAAAAATGTCATCATGCTTTTCACTGGGGCCAGTGTGGTGCACACCTCCTAAGTCTTTTAGGAAACGATTACATATCATGTTTAGAATAAAACCACTTTTATCAGTGGAATGAAATGCTTAATTTGGGAAAAGATTAATGAGGCCAAGTGTAGGCTTTCTCTCTGATTTCTTTTAGGAACACGCCTGACTCTCTTCACCTGATACCATCCTATCTTTTCCACTTTGCCTTCTTGGGCTGTTATCTTTTCACTTCAAAACCTCAAAGGCGTGGGGTTGTTCAGCATAAGGATGGTTCATCTACTCACTCACTGTGGCAAGTAATTGGGCCATGTGAGCTCCCTGTGAGCGAGTGAGGCCAGGCTTCACAGCTTATAATGAGAGGCCATTTGTTAAGCTAAATCAGGAGCGCAGCTAAAACCACATTTAAAATGAACAATTTTTTTTTAAAAGTAACATCAACAAAGCAGTCGTGTGTGTGCATATGTATATAAATAAACTGCCTAGAATTAGAACTGAGAGTGCACAAAATTAGCACAAGAAAGGACCTGTCATAGTGTCAGAGTCCCCTACTCTAGAGCAGACTCTATATTGGATACTAAGTACGCACATCACAGAAGCCAGAGCCAAGGGGAATGTCCAAGAACAAAAACTCTGAAACTCTGCTTATGGAGGCTATTCTTTATCCTTTCTCCAAATTTATATTCATCCTTAAAATGTCTCCTAAGTTAGTTCTGGGGATCTCAGTCAGGAAGCCAATCGGCATACAATCTCTGAACGACACCAGCTTTTAAAAAACGTGGCCTCATTATTTTCAAGAGCCTGTAATACTCACCTTTTTATGATTAAAGCTAAGCTTAATTTTCACTTGACCTCTGTATGATTTGTAATGAATCATAATTTCTAAGAACAGGTTTTACAATGACATTCATTCCACAGGATAGATACAGAAAAGGAGCGTTAACACCACTTAAAATATGCTTCCATTTCGGCTTACACAAGCATTTGTCAATTCTTTTCTTTTAAGGTGTTTTAATTTTCCTTGCATTTCATAAAACACAGATAAGTTTGTTATTTAAGTAAGTATAATTTTTTTTTTCTAGAAATGATACAGTGAAGCAAATGAAGTATGGAGACTGAAAAGAGTTGGAATAACTAGGTGAAATTAAGGCAGGAAATGGTATCAGGCATCAGCTTAGGGCAGAGCATGCAGGTCTTTGGTGGAAGATTCAAAGACAGAAGTTGTTTTCTTTTCCGTCTGTGGTATCATTTTCCAGGACACGAGGGCCAGACACAGTACTGAAAACGTGAACTTTTATGTCTGTCTCTGTAACTGTACATGTCTATGTAACAGTTAGGTGGGTAACAGCATGCTGCTTGAGTCAGAGGGAACAGAATATTATTTTTCTCTCTGTTCTGCCCTGCAAACCTTGCCAAAACATTCATTTGTATCCATTATGGCCCAGCTATCTATCTAATAGGCAGCATAGCATCTCAGCAAGGGTCTGATTGCAGAGCATGTGCTCCCAAGTATGAATCATATGCCTAGCAGAATGTAACTAGAGAAGAATTACTTTAAACTCATTTTTGTTGACTCGCTAATCAGCAATGTGGTGTCTAATAGCTTATATATGTACCTTAAAAAAAAAAATCCAAAGCTTACAATTTTAACCACCCTTACCTTCATTTAACCCTTAGCTTCCTACCTCATCTCTCTTAAAAATCTAATTGGGCTTCTCCTTATGCAGTAGGGCATCCAATTTTTAAAAGTCATGCTCTCCTTTATTACTATCAAAGCAACACATGAAGTCCTGAGTATTAGGGCTTAGTTGTCTGAAAACTACATTTGAACAGCAGGGCTT